AAACATTAACTTCAAATATTTAAATGATGATCCAACCTTGAAGTGACATGAAAAATGAAAACAGTTTCCAAATAACTGTATCATAGTTGCTCACAGTTGCTACAGTTTGGATCTTAAACATTCCCCAAAGGGTACTAAAGGTTTGGTCTTCGGCCTTTGGTACTACTGGAAGGTGGTGGAATCTTTTGTGTGGATTTTTTTTTTGTACTGGGGATTGAACTCAGGACCTTGCACTTTTGAGGCAGGTGCTGGAACCACTGAGCTAAATCCCCAGCCCCAAAGGTGGTAGAATCTTTAAGAGGTAGGGCCTAGTTTGAGGAAGTTATGTCACTGGGGGCACACCCTTGAAGGAGCTATTGACACCTGCCCCTTTCTGTTTCTCTCTTTACTTTGTGGCTGCCATGAATGAATAGGTCTTTACCATTTGCTCCTGCCATGATGTAGTGTGCCTCCAAAGGCCCAAAGCAATGGGAGGGCCAAGTGACCATGGACTGAAATCTCTGAAACTATGCCAAAATAAACCTTCCTCCATCTAAGCTGATTTATCTTGGCATTTTGTCATAGTGATGGAACACTAACAACAGTCTATGAATAGGAACACATACACATAATTGTGCAGTACAATGGCATTTTATAAATGTAAATTATAAAACAATTTGCTTGATGTGTGAGCTTGGAAGCAGCTCTTCAGCTCCAGTCAAGCCTTCAGAATGCCTAATCTGGACTACAACTTCTCAGGTCCCTGGGCCAGAATCACTAAGCTCAGCTCTTCCAAAGACCCACAGAAAGAGTAAGATGATACTGTTTACTGTTATAAGCCTCTAAACTTTGTTATGCAGCATCCATATATCTAGAACAACACTGTTTCTATTTTCAAGATGGTATAATTGGGATCCCAGGAACACACATTCCTAGAATCATTCCACCCCAATCTTTGGTGCAGATATTTAATATCTGGCTTAGATTCTGAGAAAGAGAAATTTAAGAAGTGTAATACCTGTATTATTTATTGTCCCTGACTAGAACACTGCTATGCGTGTCACTCATAAACATTCGTGTATTGAGAAGCTTGGTCCCCAGGGTGGCAGGACTGGGAGGTACAGAAATGGGATCTTTTAAGAAGTTGGGCCTTGGGCGATGTTCCTGTGTTATTGGGAGGTCCTACCCTTGAAACAGATTAGGGCAGTTCTCATGTGGGCCCTTGGTAGTTATCATTAAGAGGGTTGGTATAAAGGCCTGAACCTGGGCCCACTCAGCTCTCTGGCTTCCTATGCTGTATTGAGATGTGATCACATGCTCTTGCTATTCCCATGCACCATTATGTGATACAGTTGAAAGGTCCTCACTACAACTGAGGGGCCCTGCCTTTGATCCACTAAAACTGTGAGCTACATAAGCCTTTTTCTTTATAAAGCTGACACCTCAGGTATTTCATTATAGCAATGACAAATGGATTGATACAGACACCTATGTGTACCATTTTTCTTAAGCCTTTTTCTCCCTTCTCCACTTCCTGTTCTTCTTCTACAAATAAAACAGACCCCAGGACTTGCTAAACTCCTAAGCATTGCACTGACTTTAAGCATTACACATTTACTTTTGCTCAAAAGTTCCTTAAGTGCAATATAATTTTCTTTTAAACTTGATATGCATAAAATCTAATATACTCAAGGTATTTAAAAATATTTTATTATACTAACACAAGGGGTAAGGACATAAACAATCTTCAGCTTACAAACTAGCTACCTGGGATGACTTTTCTACCATTACACCCAGTCACTCATATCAAATTTTTATCTATGACTTGCAGAAGCCACTTTCTACAAGAGCCAAATTTTGCCACACCCCTTTCCCTTGAAAGTAAATGCCATCAACAATGGGGAGCATACAAAGTAGTAATCCCCTCTCCATAGCTTTACAAACACATAATTAGCTAGTCACTTTAATTATATGCCATCATGTACTATTTGCTGTTACTTCTGCTAAACTAAGAATAAATTCCCAATGTAAATATCTGCTTCAATCTTCCCTCCTTCCTATCAATGTCACAATTTATTTACAAAAACCTGAGGTAAAAACACAAAAACTTGTTTTTTTTTAAGTATACTTTGCTGAACTGTGTTTGCTATGAAACAACACATTCAATTTAATGGTAAAATATCAATCGTCTGGGCCATATCTAGTAAAGGTAGACATGCCAAAGGAAGGAAACACATTTTGTTCACTTTCTCTGAACTTTTTATAGACGTCAGATCTCGAGAGCATAAAATGCAGTTCCTATCACCACTACAAATAAAAACATACAATTCCTAATTTCGACGTATTGCAAATCTCGGCAAATTCCCAAAGACATGTGTTTCTGAGGATGGTATGATGCAGTAATTTTGAGGTCAATTTTAAAATGGTGCAGGAAGCCCTGGTATCTGTGGGGACTGTTTTGCACAGCATTCAAGTCTCGGGAACGCGGGCGCAAAGGGCTCGTCTACCTGTTGGGAATGGATGGCTGTGGGCCCCTCCTGCAAGACCTCTCACCCATCCCTGGGCACGGGAGGGCGCGGAGCCCGGAGAAGGCTGACAATGCACCGGTCTAGGAGGCGCGCCAAGTCGCAGCGAGGAACCGGGCTCACGCAGACCTCGGGACTCAGGACGGCGCCGCCAACTGGTCACGCACACCTTGCTCGCCAGGGGACCTGCGCTCCTGCCCTCCCGGCAAGCCCCTTCCACTCGCAATCCGACCTCCAAACTTTGGTTTCTGGTGGGCCTTGCCTCCGTCCTCCCTCAGAACGCAAGGAGACGTAGCGTAGCCCCTCTCCCGCCCGGTCGCTCGCAGCAGCGCAAGCCGTACCCACCTTGTTCTCAGAGCTGAAGCAAGCGGCTGCGCGAACAGCAGCCCCGCCCCTCAGCTAGCACCATAGAGATGCCGGGGCTCTGCCGGAGCGGCCCAGGCGTAGCGTCCGCCGAGAGGACGCTGGGATACTGACCCGACTCGGAGTGAAAAGAAACTGATACAGCGCTTAAGCGCTGTTTGGTTAAGCGGGTTAGCACCATGAGTTCTCAATCGTATCTCTAGAAGGGGTTCTCTGGGCCACAGAATATGTTTACCGTCCTTGTTGATTTCCTCCTGTCAAGCTGGAAAATTCAGGTTTGGGCGGCGCCGATTCATAAAGCCGTAGACCTCCCCATGACGCACCCCTGAGGCGCCCAGGAAGTTGGGGATAGACAAATGGCCTCACCAAATGCCGACGCACAGGTCGTGGTGGTTCTCAAAGGTGTAGAGTATTTCTAACATCATGTGGATCCTTTAGGGCTGGCGACAGAGAGTACAGGTACTTTCGCAAGGATTGCAAACTTTCGGACCCGACGCTCCTCAGTAGCGCTTCACCGCCCCCTTGGGGACTTCTCGATAACGCCAGTGGATGTCAGGAGTGCGTCTCTACTGGACTGCAAGGATGTGGCCGGAACCCATAATCACCAATACTGAATGTTCAGATGAAGTCTCTACTGCATATAGGCTACAAACCAACTTGACAAGTTTGTTTACTGGGATGTGGTAGGACCCTGCCATCTCCCTGCCTCACAATGGTGGGTGCTAACTTAGCACCAAGGAGACAACAACTTCCTATTTAGCCTTAATGGGCACTGGTCCAAAAGAAAATGCCCAAAGAGGGACATTCTTTCCTCTTCCTACCTAGTTTCTCAAAACGTGTCAGCCAGGGCAGCAGTGGGATATTAATTATACAGTTAAACGAGACCACAGAAAATTGGAATCTTAAGCAAACTCGTGGGCCATTCATAACTCAAATTTGTCACACTCTGCAGAGGCCGTTCAGTTAAGGACAAATATTCAGTCTGAATTTCCTCATGGCAGGATAGTACATCCTACAGTCTAGGGACAACATAGATGGCTTACTGCAAACCAAAGCAGAAGAAAATTTTTCTTTTTTCTGTAGTCAGTCTACTGACTAAAAGCACGAATCCATTTATAGGACTCTAAGTATCCCGGGCACTGTGGTAACAAGGCCACAGAATGACTTCATGGAGCTCACGTTCTAATGTAGGATACTGACCTCAAGGAAACAAGTTGGACTGTTAAGTACTACAGAGGAAAGAAACACAATAAACAAGATTAGAGCTGGGAGAATCGCCTCTCGGCCTTTTGGCTAAGATCAAGTGTACAGCTGGGAGAGGCTAACTAGTCAAGTACTGGAGAGGCCCCTCTAAAGTTGTATTTTTGCTGAGACCTAAAATATGAAGGAGCCAAGACAGAGAAGCTAAAAAGAAGCCAGTGTCCATTCAATTTATTGACCCTACCACTCCAGATCTACTATACTTTTTTTCTCTCCATCATTCTCATGTCTTCTATTGCATCCTCCTTTTTATGTGAAGACTGGTTTTCTATAAAAAGTAGAAAATTAGAACACTTGACATCTTTTTAGATGTCCAATTTTATGCTTTCCACAGAGACCACGTTTCAATAAACTCATTTCTCAATTTCACATTCTGCAGTATAAATCTTTTCATATGTTTAAAAGAAATGAAAGTACATATTTTTAAAAAAACTTAGTCGTTTGTTGAAGTGCTTGATTTTTACTTAGCTTGGAATATGGTTGTTGATCAGGCTCTTTTTTTCTGAGATCCAGTTCTCTTTTCATAGTTACGCAGTATAGAGATTTTTTTTTTGGTACCAAGGGTTGAACTTGGGACCTTGCACTTGCGAGGCAGGCACCAGAACCACTAAGCTAAATCCCCAACCCCTGGAGTACAGAGATTGAAGTAGCAAATGGCCAAATACATAATTATGCATACTAAAAAAATAAACTTCAAGACTAATGTTTTACAACATAAAAACAGCAAAAATTCAGGGCTGGGGATTTAGCTCAGTGGTTCTGCTGCCTGCCTTACAAGCACAAGGTCCCGAGTTCAATTCCCAGTACCGAAAAAAACCCAGCAAAAATTTATAATTTTAGAAGTTCTCAAATATCTGAAGAAATGAAATAAACTTACAATTTCATAAGAGTTCTTTATTAAAATGTACTATATATTTTAAGAATTTATAAATTAGGTAAAATACAATCAAGATTAAATGTCAATTCTCAACCACTGTATAGAATATATGCAATTTCTGCACTTACTAGTAATTTTATACCAGTAACTTGAAGCACCCCTCCTAAATTTAATAATGTAATTATTCCATTTTTCACTTTTTGGAGTTTGATAGAAGATAGTCAATATCCTGAAGGATTTCAGAAGTTTTTTTCAATGCCACTGATACTCTCTTTTCATTCACTTCTAATAGGGTTTCTGAAGAGTCAGAAGACTGTTCATTTTTCTTGCTTGAGGTACAGTTTAAGACACCACTATTCTCCAGTAGCACTGAGCTAGTTAAGGAGTTTTCCCTCACATTTTTCTTTATATAAATATTTTTATTTTCAAAAAGCCTGGCCTTCATATTAAAATATAATTGATTGCAAGGAAGATCTCTTGGATTTTTAATAGAGTTTGAATTTAAAAATTTATGGAGTCTACCCATAAATGAGGAATATTGTTATAGTGTAATTAGCAAGAAAGAGTATGTACATAAGTATATGGATGGAAGGGAAAGACAGTGGTAGGGAAGAAATAAAAGAATTATAATCTCAATAACTTTTTTTGTTGTTTTTTCAGACAAGGTCTCACCATGTATCTAGTTCAGGCTAGCCTTGAACTCACAGTGATCCTCCTGCCTCTGTCTCCCGAATGCTGGAACTACAGGTACTGGCCACCACACCCAGCTTGACATTTAATTCATTTATACAAGTGTTATGAGAATAAAAAGGAACAAGAGTAGGGATGACAGAACTATAAACAATCTGTGTAGTATGTTTTGTAGAGTAAAACAAAACCTGTCCCTTGTTACAGAACTACTTTATCATTTGAGTAAGATATAGAACAACCACAAGAAAACAAATTTAGGTAAATAGGGTGAGAATATACAGAATGAAACATTTTAAAAGGAAAAAGAGGCCTTCACAGGTATAATTTAGAATATAATACATAAGAGAAAAAGTCTCCAGAGGAGATCTTAACCCAAGTTCACCAGTCTTTGCCAAATTTAAACCCAAAGGACAATACATTCTAAGGATACAGTTAAACTTCTGTATCTTTTCAAGTTCAGAAGCAACAGACCTGTGCAAGAAATAAAAGTAAGTTTATGCTAGTTGTCTCATTCTTTTATATTCACAAACATTTATTTTACTTTGAGACAGGGTCTCACTAAGTCAAACTTTTCATCCTCTTGCTTGGGTCTCCTGGTATGCAGGAATCATATATGTGTGCCACCACACCAGGCTTCAAATTCAAATAACCATACTTGACTTGTTTTTTTTAAAGATTAGGATTTTAAATGGGAGATCATAGAAGTTAAGAATTCTCTTTATGTTAGCTTTATTTAGCAACAAATCAACTTAGTTAAACTGATTTTTACTGAGAGCTTTTAAAGGTAAATGAATAAAAGTCCCCACTATAAGGACTTTGTAATCAAGTATTGATATTCTAAGGTAATGGACTTTCCTTCAGTACTTAACTGGCACATCAGCTACTTTCCTCCCTAAAGTTTACTCAAACTTTAAAACCTACTAAAATCCCAGCCCTTCTTTGCTTTTACAGAAGTGATCTCTCCTTTCTTGAATTTCTATAGCATTGTTAATCAATTATATGCTTATTTTTAATGTCTTCTCTTGAACTATAGCTTTCTGATATTCTTATGTTTATTGTGGCATACAACTACAAATATGCTTGACTACCACTATGAAAAATTAATGAGGACTGTCTAAAAACATTTCTTTATTCAAATCACCAGAAAATCTTTAACAAGGGAATGCTATGTATATCCTTTATTGCCTTTACTACAATGAATTGCAAGCACCTTTTCTCAACTTGCAGTGTTTCTTCCTTGTACTCCAGCCTATGGATGGTGTTATGGCTTGTGTTTGGATGTCTCCCCCAAGGCCTCATGCAGTCCATAGGTGGGGCTTTTTCAGACATGGCTTAATCTAGAGTGTGACTGATTCATGGTACAATGCTAGGATTAAGGGTGCTAGGATTCAGGGTGGATGGTTACTAAATCAGGCCACTGAGTGGTTTGGCACCACCCTAATCCCAGTAGCCCAGATAGAATATAAAAGGGGCTGAAAAAAAGCTGCTAAGGTCCCTTGTTTACCTTTGCTGTCTTCTGCCTGCAATGAACTATTTCTACTCTGTGATACTTCTCTGCCATGTGCCACCCTGCCTTGGAGCCAGCCAACTAAGGGCTGAAACCTCCAAGAACTGTAAGCCAAATAAACCTTTCCTCCTTTAACTCTGGGTATGAGCAGGTATTTTGTCTCAGCATTGAGAGAAAAGCAACTAAGACAGATAGTGAATGAAAGACATTTTTCATATTTTAAGCATCCAGGAAAATTATTAGAGATGACTTACTCTAAAAGCCTACTGATTCTTTGTCATTCCAAAACACATTTTAAACTAATTCTTCTGCTTCAGCCTCCTGAGTGATGGGTTCTGTACTCATTTGACTAACATTGCTATTAAAAAGTTGAATCGATAAGCTAATAATGGTGAATGAGATGGAAAACTTAACTGAAGTATAATTTAAGTATCCATTTATTGCATAATCTCTTCTTTCAACCTACTATGACAAGACAGATCACAATGGAGATGGCTTACATTTTGCAAGGGGAATGGAGCTACTACTCCTCAATTCCTTATCTTACCTCTCTGCTCCTCCCCCTTCCTTCCAGCCATAGGTGCTATCACCAATATGCACTTTTACTTCTCAGTATGTCTTGACAGTTATCCTCTTTAAGCTTTCCGGTAAAGAGGCTGGCATTTTACAAACTTTGGCAGCTGAACAATATTGATTATTTTTATAACCATGTAAAAAAAAATTTCCCTTTCTTCCCAGCTGTTTTTTATTATGTACTTGAGTAATTTTCTATTTGGCTATAGCCAAACAGGCTACCGCTAAAGGATGAGGCATTGGAAAGCTAGATCCTTAGATACCTGAGATACTTGATACCTACTGACTGGATTCCTTCTAAGAAGTAACTTCAGAAAAGGTGGTAAGTATCAGGCTTAATTGGACCCAGCTATTTCCCTTCTAGATCTCTTCCCAAGAAGACATGGTATTACAGTGATACAATCATACCCATGTGTATAGCAGCATAACTCATAATAGCTAATTCTTGGAAATGACCTGTATATCAATCAATAGATGAATAAATACAGAAAGTATGATACTTGTACACAATGGAGAACTACTCTGCCACAAAGGAGAAATTTGTGTCATTTGTAGGAAAATGGATGCACCTTGAGTCAATAACATTAAGTGAAGTAAATCACACAAAGCTTAACTATTGTACAGTTTCTCTTATATGAGAAACCCAAAGTATAAATAATTTGAAGAGCAAATAAAAGATAGATAATAGGAAACAGGGAGACAGCTCTCTTGCAAATGGGTAGGGAACCAAGAGAGGGAGGGGATGGGAGAAAAAAAGGAGAAATAAAAACAATTAAGGTGTATTATGTACATGTACCAATCTCCATGACAAATATAATCATTTTGTACTGCAAACATGTATAAATTAAACATTTTAAAAATAATTTTTTAAAAAGAAGAAAGCTTAATGTTTACCTTTTTAAAAGTCACACTGTTAGGTCATCTCAAAATTTGCATTAAAAGGTTTCTAAATTTTTCCTGTATCCTTTCCAATATAGTCAGATTATACTCAGTAACATTAATCTTCCTAATGAGCCTTCTTCCTGTCATTTTCCACTTAGGAACTTGTGTTTCTATCAAGTCTGAACACCTGTATTTAATTCAAGATTCATTCCTATCCATCAAAACTCACATTATTTCCTAACAGGTAGCATCTGTTTCATAAAAATTATCTTTTCACCATCTCCACAGTCCCAAAGATCCTTTTTACCTCTGGCCTTGCTTCCTCCCTACAGTATCTTATTTTTTCTAAATATTTCTTTGAAGCTCAGACCTAGTCCCCTACTTGCTTTATTTGTTCATTTGCCAGTAAATGGGGAAGGGGGCTAATAATAAGACAAAATATTTAAAAGTCAATTTCAGAAAGCTTTTGTTAGTCAATGTGATGGTTAATTTTGATTGTCAACTTGATTGAGAAAAACCTAGGAAATTAGTAAAGCCACTTCTGGGGTTGTGTGTGAGGGTGTTCGCAGAGACTACTGACGTGGGGGGCAGCAAATTGATGGGCGAGAGCTGCCTTAATTGTGGGAGGCACCACCTAATGGGGTGCAGGCCCAGATGGAACACAAGTAGAAGAAACCCAGCTAGCACCAGCTCTCTGGCTCTCTTGCTGTCTCTGCTTCCTGGCTCCCATGAGGTAAACAGTTTTTCTCCATGACTCTACTCCCTTTCTCTATGTTTCTGCATTCATACGGCATAAGAGCAGTGGAGCCAGCCAAGCATGGAACTGACCTCTAAAACTGTGAGCCTTTCTTCCGTAAGTTAGTTTTCCCAGGTATTTTGTCACAGCAATGGAAAACTAACACAGTCAACATTTTATTTCCTTTAACATCACTAAAATTTTAAGAATTCTTTTTAAATTTTTCCATAAAATTTTGAATTTATTATATAAACCACTCATTTTTGATACAAAGTTTTCAAACCAGTTTTGTGCCCTTCAGATGAAATATGATTTAATATGACAAATTAAGTATTTGAGTAGAAATAAATTATTTTCAAATTTTAAGTATCATAAATATAGGAGTAAAATACATTTACACTGAAAGTTTTCTGGGAAAAAAGTTTCAGAGTTTACCATTTGACACTTGAATATTTAAGTATTAGTTGGCTGTTGTAGACAGGTTAAAAGAAATATAAATACCAATTTTCTTCAAGAACAGAAGATGAAGGACATGTGAGCATCTCTCTTGGACTCATCTGGGTGAGTCCTCTGCACCATGATGTTACTGTTGTCACATATCTACAATGAACACATTAAAAAAACTTGAAAATGAACTGTATTCATTCTGCAAGTGTAATAAAAATGGAGTAGCATTAAGACAATTTGGGGAAAAAGGATAAAAAAAAACAAGTTAGGCATTTACTGGGTAATTTTCGAAAACTTTCATTAGACAGAAAAGACAAGTTTTTTCATTATTCATCAAAATTGCAATGATTTACCCATATCTGTAGTTAATAAAGATAACATTTAAGAGTCAAAACAAAAGTAATACTTAGATCTCATTTAAAGATCAAATTCAAATGTTTAAATTCTATTTTTAGTTTTTCAAAGTAAAATGAATTTTAAGTTTTATCATGAAAATGCCATCACACTTATGACTCTGTGTACATTTTGCTTACTAAAATTTAAACCAGAAAACATCCATTAATGTATGCACATGTACACACAAATATACATATTTGTGATTATATATAACTGCATATATAAAAAAACCTGGAATTTAAAGAATTATGAAGTGACTGGCTGCAACAAGTAATAATATTTTGTAAAGAAACTATCTTTCTGAAGCAAATTTTTCAAAATAACAATTGAATGTTAGAGCATTTAGACCAAAAAACAATAAAGACCAACAGAAAAATAAGTTCAGGAAGTAAAACGAGCAGTGCTTATGTGAACATCAAGTAAAAATCACTAAAATATCAAGACTACCACAAGTAGAATTACTATAACAGAAAATTACATAAACCAAAAGAGAAAAGCATATTCATAAAAACTGACTTTAAGAAGCTGTGCCCTTTTAAGAATCATCAGCTTAATTTCATTTAATTTTTCCTACTTTCTAGAAATAGATATAATTTTAGTTATTTGTGGTTGCAAACCTTATTTCAAATTGGTTAGGGGATCAGGATTAATTAATTGGCTAACACATCTGAACACAGCCCAATCTCCATAGTCTGTATGCTATGTGATCATGTCTGTATCACATATCAGTTTGAAAAATCACTTGACTACAAGGAAATGATTAAAACTGACCTGATTTATTTAGTTGTGCTAAACACCAGTAGAACTGAAAACTTTGGAGTCTGATTAAATTACTTCATTCACATTATCACATGGAAAAAATTAAAATACGTAACATTTAAATGTTTATAATGCTGCTTCTGTCAAAACATAAAACTAATTTTTTGGTGAGCAGTGCTGAGATCAAACTCATAGCTTGTGCACACTAGGCATGCACCCTACCACAGAGCTACATCCCAACTCAAAAATGATGTTATAAAGAATTGCGTTTTAGTACCTTTCATATGGTCCAGGGTGTTCAATTTGAATTAACTGATCTTGTCCATCAGGAAAAGTTAACCTACACCAACCTAAGTTGAGACCTTGATTTACCTTAAGAAGCAAGGAGGAAAGGCAAATTTTATCACTCCAAAACTGAAAACAAAAATATGGTCAACTTCTTCTGACTTACCAATTTAAAAAAATAAGTAGATGAATCATTAAAAAGTTAGTTTGACATGGCTATTAATTTACCACCCCTCATAGAGATAATTATCAAGAAAATAAAAATACCCCTCTTGCTATAATAAGTTGTCTTTATACAAATGACTGTCACACTGTTCTGACTTTTGCTGGGAAATCCAATGAAATCAGTAAAGCCTCTTGACAGATTTTATACTTGAAAATTAATTTGAGATATTGTGGAACTTTGTCTTTGTTGTATTCCATAGATATACAACAAAAATATATTTCTAACCATAGATAAGAGGCTAAAGCTACAGATAATGTACTGTATATTTCAAAAAAGCTTGAAGATAGGATTTTGAATGTTTTTAGCACAAAGAAATGATGTTTGAGAAAACAGATGTACTTATTATCAATGTTAAAATATATGCTGTATCAAAACATCACTTGGTACCCCATAAATATGCACAATTTTTGTGTCAATTTTTAAAATGCTCCAATAAATCTTACTACACATAAAAAAATAGATTTCATTCTAAAATATACTAACCTGTCCTTTTTCAACAGAAGAGGTGAAATTCCAATTCAAGGTTAAAGTGATACCATCTAAAAAGATAGCATGTACTTTGTCATCAGAGTAGGCAAGAAATCTTCCCACGTTGGATATGAGAGACTCTTTCAAAAGTAAAGGCAGTATATTGCTATCATTTATCCCAGGTACCTAAAACCAAATAAATAAAAGTAGCAAGGAATAAAGTTATCCATTAACAAGATTTAAATGAATATTAATGAATTCTGAAACAACTTCAGATTCTTATCCAGCTCAGTATTATAGAATTCTTATGTTTAACTTTTTCAGAAATAGATACCAAGACAGTATTTTACAAGCAGATTAAGTATTAATGTTTATAGAGCTAACATTTAACTCTGAACATTACATAGAAAATAGATAAAAAATTAGATATACTTTAAATCTAATCAATTCTGTTTTCCCCTCTATTAAAAACTAAATAAATTGCGGGCTGGGGATTTAGCTCAGTGGTTTCATTACCTGCTGCGCAAGCGCAAGGACCTGAGTTCAATCCCCCCTACCAAGAAAAAAAAAAAAAAACTAAATAAATTGGGCTGAGGGTATGGTTCAGTGGTAGAGCTCATGCTTAGCATTTGAGAGGTCCTTGGTTCAATCACTAGCACAGGATTGAAGATACAAATACAATAAGGAAAACTATATGCAATAAAAGCATAGCATGAAGAGAGGAAAACTATAAACAATAAAAGCATAACAAAAAGGAAGGGAAGGGGAAGAGGGAACGGGAAGGAAAAGATTGAACACAAAGGCTTGACTTTTCATTGTCTATCAGGTGAATATTATTCTGAATAAACCAATATTACTGTTACAGACTTTCTTGCATGACTTAGATGAAACCAATTTGAATTTAGAAATATGGACTCAAATAAAATAATTTTAAAAATAATTTTAATATACCATTTTCCAGCAGCATATACGATAGTTATGGCTTAGAGAAAGCCTCATCTTGGCACAATGTTGAAGAATTCTGTGAACATGAAAACACTCGTTAAACATTTGCAAATAATAACATATTCTAATGCTAGCAATCCATCCTGAATGCTGTGTAACATTTTAGATGGCAAGTAACTCATTTCCACTGAAATGTACTTGAAACTCTTCTTCGAAGAATCCATGAGCCCCTAGAAGGGAATTTTGTTTCCCTCTGTACTAATCTCACCTAGGTAAAGCCTATTCTTCTAACCTTTGACAATGAAATGACTCCATGGAGAGAATTTCCAAGTGCTTTTTTCTTTTTAGACTGGGCCTTGAGCCTAGAGCCTTCACACTGACTATATTCCCAGCCCCTTTTTTATTTTGAGACCAAGTCTCACTAAGTCATTAAATTGCCCAGGCTGGGCTAGATTTTGAGATCCTCCTGCCCCAGCATCTCACAGTTATGGGATTATAGGTATGCACCAACACACCCAGCAGTTATCAATTCTTAATCCTATCCTTAATCACAAGAAAATGCATCAAGGTTTTTGGGTATATACCACTTGGTTCAATTGAATGTGAAGAAATTACCTGGTTGCCTGCTTAATCAGAGAACATACAGAGAATAGACTTCCTGGTCTATCTGGAGGAAGGTTGTTCACTGAGTAAGTTTTCTCTTCTCTCTGAAAATTAGTTTAAAATGGAAAATCTCATTAACAATAAATTGTGGTCCTTTTTAACTTTTTGTTAAAATATGTATTTATATAATGACAAGGTAAGAGTTATTTTAACAATATAAAGCCCATATAACTTACATATTTTAACAGTGTTTCATGATGCCTTTCCACTGTCCCACTTAAAGTATAGAATGCTATATTGAAAAGTGACGTTCTAATAGCCTATAACTTACTGCCCAATTTAAATCTTGGCTATACTTCAATTAATATAGCAACGAAACTACTTTTCACACATTAGCAGGAAATTTATCACCTAAGCCACATGCTTTCCTAAAAAAAAAAATGGCTACATGGATTTAAAAGCCACTATTTTAAATGAATATTTTAAATGAATCATTTTGTTACATTTTATTAAGAGAAGAACTATTGTTGGGGCCAAGGATTTAGCTTAGTGGTGCCACCGCCTGCCTCGCAAGTGCAAGGTCCTGAGTTCGATCCCCGGTACCAAAAAAAAAAAAGAATAAGAGAAGAACTATTGTTATACTTTGTAAAAGACTCAGAATTTACAGGCTCAGAATTTCTTTTTAAATGTTATTTTGTTATTCTTTCTGAATTTGCTCTTTCTCAAACCTGCTAGTGTTCCCCAGGACTCTGTTTCTAGCCTTTTCTTCTGACTTCCTGATTTCTTCTTTAGGTAATTCTAGAAGGTCCAAAGCCGTGTTCACAACAAATATAATAGTAACAACATGTATGGAGTGTGCCACAGGTGCTATTCTATACATTTTATGGATTTTTTCATTTAATCCTCAAAATAATTCTGAAGAACTGTTAATGCCTGGTTTCTAGATGAGGAAATTGCAGATAAGCAGTAGTACAGATCTGATTTGAACCACAAGAGGTAAAGAGCATAAGACCCACATCAGGGAAAGAAGATGGGCTTCAGAATCAGACAGATCCGGATTCAGATTGCAAGTTTGATTCTTACTAACTACAACAATATGTGGGTTATGCAAACTTTTTAAAGCAGAATTTCTGATCAGTTTTACTTGATGTTATCAAGTTGTCCTCGAAGAAGGCTGAACCGATTTATACTCCATCCAACACTATGAAAGCACCCCTTTTCACATCCTCTCTGGCAGTGGATATTATCTTTTTAAAATTTTGATAACTTTAATAAGTGAAAAAGATTGTGTCAACTGTTACTTTATTTGCATTTCCCTGATGCAACTAGTACAGCTTAACATTATAGTATTATCAAATATTATAGGATTTTGAAAATTTTATATTGCCTTTTCTTATCCTTCACTCTTTTTTCTACTAGTTTTTTTGGGGGGAGGGGTCTTTATTGCTGATTTAGTATGGAATATTTTCTTCCACGCTTTTGCTTGTAGTTTTTACTTTATCTAATATGACCGAAGCTTTAAATATTTAAAACTTAACAAAAATTTGAAAATTTCAAGCTTGTCAAACTTGAAGCTGTTTTTATTGTTCTTAAGAAGGTCTCCCTTGCCCAAAGATTATAAAATGGTTTTCTATAACATCTTCTTATTCATCTTCCTCCTCTTCTTTTTTTGTTATTGTTTTGTTTTTTGAAATAGGGTCTCACTATGTAGCCCAGGATAGCCTCAAACTCATGGCAATCCTCCTGCCTCAACCTCCCAAGTGCTGGGATTATAGATGTGTGCCACCACCCCTGGCTACTTTCTCTTCTAACAATGATAAAGTTTTGTTTCTTATATTTAATTATTTAATTCACCTGGAATTGATTTTGGAGTATAGGTTAAAGAAGCAAATTTATCCCAAAGAGAGTCAATTGTTTCTAAATCTCTTCACCAAGGCAGACAGAGAAGGGTGGTCCACACACAGGTCTAAGAATGAAGCCCAAAGCAGTCAACCACAAATGTAAAGCTTGTTAGAAAGTTTTATTTTTTCCCAAAAGTTCAAGCTTCTACTCCATATGTTTGCTTCAATATAAAAACTACACTCCCTCCTGAAAGCTTTGAGCAATAGGGAAGCTCCATGAAGATTCACTACATTTGTCCTGCAACTGTGCAAACTCCCATACAGCAGTCAGCAGTGTGACTGTTCATAGCCACCCTGTGTGCCCGTTTGTTTCCTCCACTACATGCACTCACATACTTATACACAGTACTTAGCCACATCTCATTTTCTTGTATGTCTCTCTGCCTGACCACTAGACTGTGAACCCTTTGAGGGCAGGAATTCCTTATTTTCATCATTCCCAGTGCTTACCAGAATGCCTGCTAAAGAGTAAGTGTTCAATTAATACTGCATAAATGAATGAACATTTGCCTAGAAATAAATTTCAATAGGGGATCTGCTCTAATACATACTGAAATATTTATGAGTAAAATTTGGGATTTAAATAGGTAGTGATGTGGAAAAGGCAATGGGAAGTACAGATGAATACGTGGGTAATGGGTACCTAGGGATCTGTTACATTTGTCTATTTTCGTATGCTTGAAATTTTCCATAGTTAAAAAAAAAGTCCACTCCATTTTGAATTCTTCCCCCTAGTGACTCTGATAATCTTGTTACTTAAGTACTCCAGTCTGTAATGGAGGGAAAAAACATATTTATTCTATTTTAACCTACAAAGCAATGTGATATTATGGTGACTGCTATAGAAGGGTGGATGTCAAATGTCAGAGCGGCAGTAAATAAATGAAATCTCATTAGTATCCACATTATCATCACATGGTCTGGTAAATATATTATGTTTTAGTGTTTTGAACAATAGTGTTATATATAGTTGTATATAAAGATGTACTTAAAATATACAATTACACGGTAGGAGAAAATATGCTTTTTAGTGGGCAAATATTAATCCTAAATTGTATATTGACTCAAAGTGATGGTTCTGGTTTTAGAATTTTATATTAATACATTCTATGACAGATGAAATTTAGCTTCTGATTTAAACATGAGTTGCTTAGGCTAATAGATAGTAGTGGATGAGAAGACAGTAAAAGTTTCAGTATTTCATAATTAACTAGGTGCCAATGCTAATTGTAAGGTGACATTAATTCTCCAAACAAAACAGCAGAAAGTAATGTTGTATAAAGACCAAATTTCCCATATATATTCTGAATTTTAAAAGAATTTAGAAGACTCTTCTTGAGTTGGTATCTCATAGTTGGCTTACCTCTTCTGATCCTTCTCGACAGGAATAATAGGTAAAATAGTTCCCAAAATAAGCTCCTTCTGATTTTAAAACAGATCCATCTCCAGGATAAATCTCTATTGAGTTCACATTTTTATGAGTAAGCCTAAGGAGAAGATATAATCATTAAGTTTTTTTCTAATTATTAAAACATACACAAAGGCAGTCATAAGTAAATTATTTCATATTCTGAACCAAACCAGCTAAAATAACTTTTTTGGAAAGGATAAACAGAACATAGAGCAGTAGTTTATATATTTATTTTAACAACTAAGCTCAGAGCTTCTGGCAATCAGGCATCTTACCATCCTCTTGGTATCCTGACTGCCAGTCACAGGGCCTGGCACATACACCATCACCAAAGCCGTGTCTGTTGCATTTACGTTAAATACAACACTTCCAGGACCAGAAAGTAAGATTATTCTTTAGTGTAACCAATACCTGATGGATGAGATTAATCATCTGTGGAAGGTGATATCCCTGAAAGCAGGTGACAAATTATACCTGGAATAGCCTGCTAAAATCAAGGTATGGTGTATATAATGTGTACAAAGTGAAGTCAAGTGAATTTTGTTGGAATATATATGAAGACTATGTCATTAGAAAGGGGTGAATTTTCATACAGGAAAAGGAGAGCCCCTCTCCACCCCCCAAAAAACTTAGCAGTGTTCTTCTAGCATTGTTCATGTAAGTGAAACTCGCAATCCAGCCAATAGCAGTACTGCAGTCACCAGAGATACACAATCTATTGTAGGTAAGGATCATTTATGGTGGGCCAGGGATTTAGCTCAGTGGTTCCACTGCCTGCCTCGCAAGCGTAAGGTCCTGTGTTCAGTCCCCAGTACCAAAAAAAGAAAATAGGATCATTTATGGAGTAGTGCTGGGCCAGAGAAGTTATTCAAAGAATATTTGCTTTGAATGAACACTAAAATTCTCCCTCAGGATACCTAACATCTCTAATTCTACACTCAGTAGATAACATGGTGACGTGACTAATTCATACAAGTAGGTCTTTTGATATATTCTAAATAACTGAGATATGAATATTATATTCACTAGCAAAATTGAGCCTCCACTGTCTTCAGAGTTGCCACTTAAGTCTTGTAAACATGGTTAATGTGAGTCGCAAGAACCCCGGGTACAGTAATAAAATTAGTTTTGAGACCTATAAAATTCAGGATAAAATATAGGAGCACAGATGACCTAGCAAAGCTGTGTCCTCTTGGGCCAGGAATTTAGCTCAGTGGCACTGTGCCTACTTCACAAGTGCAAAGTCCTGAGTTTGATCCCCAGTACCAAAAAAACAAAAAACAAAAAACTATCCTCTTGTGAGTCTTTCTGTAGGGCTAGTTGCAGCCCCTCACCAACACAGGTGCCCTTACCTGTATGTAATACCCTTATACCAAACCACTTTCACTAGTTCAGGATAAGAATATTCTTCTTCATCAGACTGTGTCTGTAAAAGTGTATCACAAAACTTCCACCTGTGAAGGACAAAATGCAGACTATTAATTCTGGTTGCTCAAAATTATTGCCTATAAAAGCCAACAAATAGTACCACTGTAGCATGTATTTCTTGCTTAATTCATTAGACGACAGAAAAATAAAATACAGATGTATATGAATAGCCGAACATGGTGGCGCATGCCTGTAATCATAGCACTTGGGAGGCTGAGGCAGGAGGATCACTAGAAGTTCAAGGCCAGCCTGAACTACATAGTGACACTGTCAAAAAAAAGTATAAAAAAAAAAAGTATATAAATGAATTTTAAAACAAGAGGTGACCAATTATACCTGGAGTAGGCAAATACTTTTCTTTTCAGTAGTTTCAATAATCTCATTATTGGATTCCAGTACAAGTTACATAAATTGTTTTACTAATCTTTAAAATTTAGCCTGAATTCAAACAAATACTGAAATATTCATAGTGGGCTAGGCACTGTACATACACATTGAGGATATAACACTCAGAAAAGCAGGCATGGTTCCTGCCCTCAGTGGAGATTCCTACTTGACATGGATGTTAAATAGTAATCACTGAATGTAAAGGGAAGGTACTAAATTCTGTGGACTCACATATATACCTAATTTGTCTAGCGTCTCTCAGAAAACTATCCTAAAAGATGTGAGGCTTAAGCTGAAACCTGGAAATGAGCCCAGTCAGCCAGTGCAGAGAGATCAGGAAGAGTGCTCCTGGAAAACCAAAAACCAGGTGCACTGGTGAACAAGCCTGAGTGAGCATTTTAAGGAATGCAAGAAATTCAGTTTAAGAAGAACAAAGAAACAAGGGCAAGAGTAACGAGAGAGTTGTTTACAGATCTGTGAAGGAACCAGATTATGGCAGATGTCTTAAACTACACTAAGGAAGGTAGATCCTTTGCAAATGGGAAGGGGACTAAGAGATGGAACGGAGGAGGGAGGGGGAGGGGCTATTAAAAGAATTTAAGATGTGTTATATAATGAACCAACTCCCCTCAATGAATGTAATCATTACTGCAAACATGTACAAATGAAAATTACATTTTTTAAATAGAGGCATAAAATTTCTTTTGACATACTCATCATAATCCTGGATTTTCCAATTTTAAGTACAACAGACAACCATGACAAGCCTAAAAAGCCATTCCCATATTTTGTCCTAAAAAACAAATGTGTACTTAGAGACTACCTGGGATGGAATTTCAAGTCCTTATATGTAACTGTGCTCAAGTTACTAACATTTGTGCCAGGCATGGTGGCACATGCCTGTAATCCCAGCACTCCGGGAGAGTGAAGGAGGAGGATCAGATCATAAATTCAAGCTCCAGCCTGGGCAACCTAGTGACTTACCAAGACCCTATCTCAAAATAAAGAAGTAAAAAGCGCTGGGGATACAGGTTACAGTAAAGGCCTTGGTTCAATCCCCGGTACAACCAAAAAAATCAAGTTATTAACATTTCTGGGTCTCAAATTCCTCTACAAAGAGATGATAACAGTACTTACTGTTTCTATGAGGATCAAATAGGTAAAATACAAAGTACCTGGCATATAAACAGTTTCTGTTAGCTATTATTCCTGCAATATTTATACAAAGTTCAGGTTATAAGCCTACAACTATTAAATTATTCATCTCAGTGGAGGTAAAAAGTTTATACCTAGCCACTGAGTGGCCTCAACCTGTTCACTCCTTTTGAAAATGGACATATTTAGTCAGTAAACCAATCTCTGAGGCCAGGTACAAAAGAAAGAACTCATAACCATAACTGTCAAACCCATGCCCCAGAAATCCAAGTCACTGTCTCTTTTGAGCAGCAGCAGATGCTCCTCTTGGCTCTCCCCCAGACAGCCACTCCTGTCCAATCCCTCACCACACATAGGGACAGTGGCCTTCACTGGACTCTATATTGCTAGAAAGCAGTGACTGTGTCTTAGCCATCTCTACAGACACTGTGGTTTGCAAAGTATCTAGTGTGGAGCTGGCCACCCCAAAACACAGGTAACATCTTTCCTGTTAAAAGCAAAGATTTGGGTCAGTTAAGTTAAGCAAAGGTTTTGGTCAGATGCTTTAGAAAATTATGCTGACCTAGACTGGTTCTTACAAAAACGTTATGACCAATAAGTCACTCTTCCATTACCTGTGCAAGTGTGGGAAAGGACAACTGAGTAACAGGGCCTTGGGAAGAATGGAAACCTCTTTTCTTCTTTCCTCTGAAACACGAGAAGTTAAAATTCTACTTGTGGTGATATCTGGATCAATTTTAGGCATATCATTAATTTTATTATGAAAACGAAGTGCTAAAGACAAAGGGTATTTCCATTCTTCTGGACAGGAGGCCACAGACCAGCGCTGCTTTACCCATGTGTATACACATGTGTGATCTGCACCAGATGAAGGCGGCTCCACCCTCCTTTCAATTTCATTTGCACAACTCGTCTTCTCTAAAGGTTCTTTGGATTTCAAGATCTGGCAAAAAAGTTCATTTTCTTTACTCTTTATTCTTTGTCCTAATAAACTTCCAGAGATCTTGTTGACTCTTTCAACCAGTTTATCTTCTGGAGCTTTTTTATTTATTTCTGACAACACTCTTGGCTTCTGGCTAATTTTACACAAAAAATGTACTGTAAATTCATGCTGAGTCTTGGGCAGGCAAAGGTATGCATGACCATCTAAAGATGCTATCTTCACGGTGTCGCTCTCCATACTTATCATGCTATCATCTGCTTCAAGATTGGGCCATCTCACTTCTGAGGTATCAGTGAAGATATGCTAAATTGCAGAAGGAAAAAAACATGCAAACATCTGATTTTCCCATACTTTTGACAGTTAAGTATTGTGTAAGAAAATACTCACATACTTGTGTTTTTACTACCTAGAGAGGATAAAAAAGGGAGCTTATATATAGCTTTCCAGAGAATATTTGATAGTTAATACAGTGGACCCTTGACTTACAAACTCAATTGGTTTCTGAGGGCTGTTTGTAACCCAAGTTGGTTGTAAGTCAATACAGCTGAGTTCTGGATGTTTACCTGGGTACACATGATAGATAACAATGGGCCAGGGATTTAGCTCAGTGGTTCCGGTGCCTGCCTCGCAACCACAAGGACCCGAGTTCAATCCCCGGTACCAAAAAAAAAAAAGATACAAACATGATAGATAACAAAAGTCAGATGAATCTTCCATTAACCTAATTAACCCAAGTTGTTCATATGTCAGGCCAGTCATAACTTGAGGGTCCACTGTATAATCTCTCTTAGAAAAAGATTTAAAATACAAAATGAAAAAAATAAAAAGAACACACCATCCTGATCATATTTAGCACTTAACATATTTTGGTTTAGAACATACAATGAATTGCAGATAAACAGATTTGCATACTCCTCACCCCAAAAGTCTACTCTGAAAGAAAACAGAAATAAGGGAGAACCTGGGCTATAACATACTTTTCTTTTTTATATAACATGCTTTTTTAAAAGCATTCAGAGCTTAAATGATACAAGACCAACATATAAGTTCCTAATAGAGCAATTCAGAAAATTTAAAAAACAGGGCTGGAGATTAGCTCAGTGGTGCCACTGCCTCCCTTGCAAGTGCAAGGTCCTGCGTTCGCTCCCTGGTACCACAAAAAAAGAAAAAAGAAAATACAAAAACAGGCTCCATTATATCTTAAAACATTATATGGGATAACATGTTTTTCAAACCAAGGGGGAAAGGAGAGTTATGGAGAGTTATTTCTTCTCTCTCTCTCTCTCTCTTTCTCTCTCTCTCTCTCT